GGCCAGCCTGCCCAGCACTGCGCCAAAGCCCGGGCAGGAGGTGAGACACTTGTTGCAAGCAGCCGCATAAAATAATATAATGGTGCTTTTCTCTTTGAACAGATGGCAAGAATTACCTGCAGCTGCAGAGCAGCAGAAGGAGGGAAGGCCAGCGAGCCCGGCTCATCAGCCCCACCATCTATCTGCCCCGGAGCGCTGTCTGCATGGTCTTCCAGTACCAGGCATGGGGCAGCAATGGGGTGATGCTACGGGTCTGGCGGGAAGCCAGCCAGGAGCGCAAGGCGCTGTGGGTCATCACAGAGGACCAAGGGGAGGAGTGGAGGGAAGGTCGCATCATCTTGCCAAGCTACGACATGGAGTACCGGGTAAGATGCTCGGGGAAGACGTGCTGGGCTAGCCAGGCATCTCCAGCATCTTTATTTCAGTGTTTCAGAGCCAGGGCCCATTCATCATTAGGGAATGTGGCTGTTTTCATTGTGTTTCTCAAGTTACTATAGTAACTAAATGACACTGTTTGTTATTCAGAGAGTGCCTGTCTTCTGCACAGACTTGGGCTTTTGTTCAGCCTGTTGCCTTTTATATTCCTCAAATCTCCCACTTTGCAAATATTTTCCCTTCTTTTTTTTTTTCATTTTGTTTTGTGCATTTGCCCCCCCCAGCTGATGGTCATCAGATAGTCTGACCAGAGGCAGGTGTGCAGCTCCAGGGAGCAAACACAGACCCTGCAGCCAGGAGAAGTGAGAAGCTGGGAGGGGGCACAGCCAGCTCTTAAGGGTAGGCAGCAAACAGGCCTTCTCCAGCCTTAGCTGCAAGTGCTGACATGGGAGAAGGAAGAGGGAATGCGGGTTCGTTTGTGAATCCACTTCTCAGATACCTTAGACCAGATCGGAGGGCTGGGTGCAGCGCTGTGGGATCAAGGCCCAGTCCCACTGTCAGGAGATCAGCGGAAGAGGAGGGATGAGCTGGAGGGAGCAGCGCTGCTTGCCACAGCCGCCTGAGCCCCTCTGGCATGGCTGTGCCAGCGCCCTGCGGAGAGGCTGCTGCTTCCAGGAGTGCCTTTGGCATGGTTAACCCTTCCAGGCAGCGCGCCGTTTGCCAGGGAGCCAGGGCTGCTGTTGTCACTTGTTAATGAGCATCAGCGTGGCATCCAGCACCCTCCGAAGCAAAAGGAAACACTCACTTGGAGGCCCGAGGCAGCGCTTTGATGACCACTCCCGGCAGGGAGCATTGCTCTGGCTGGCTCCCAGCCCCAACTCTGACCCGGGGAGCCGATGCTCTCAGGCCACTGACCCCCCCAAACTGCTGCCTCCTGCAAGGGCCGGAGGGTGGCCTGTGATGCTGAACATTGATTCACTGAGTCTTTATTCCATGCAAGAGACATTTAATTGAACAAATTGCAAGCCGAGTGCTGCCAGGCCAGGTAACAATCTTTCTGCCGAACCTGTCCCTGCAGAGCAGCTTTCCCATGGGGAAGGGGTGGCAGAGGCAGGGCAAGGAAGCAGGACTAGTCTCAGGTCATCTGCAGGTGTGCAGGGAATGCCAGAAGCAGATCTCCTGCCCTTTCCCTTAGGAGCAGCAGCTGCTCTCTGCCTCCCAGCTTAGCATTGACATTTCTGTCCCAATTTCTCACAGATTGTGTTTGAGGGATTTATACGCAACGGCCTCTCAGGAGAGCTGGCCCTTGATGACATCCGGCTAGGCACCGACATCCCGCTGGAGAACTGCATGGGTACGTGGTGTGTCCGGCTGTGGGGTCGGGGATGATGGTGGGGACAGCTGGGGCTGGAGAGCCTTTGCTTGCAGGCTGCCAGTGGGCCACTTCTTCTCCCCTGCTTGAGTTACCGGGAGTTTCTGGATCTCAGCTGGGACTTTCCTTGCCCACGAAAGAAATGAGGAAGACTCAGTCTCTGAGGGACGGGGGTTCTGACCGTGTTGGTGTGAAAGGCAGGAAGCACATGTCTCTGCCGCGCAAAGCTGGAAGAGCAGCTGAGGGTTACCGAGGACTATTCTATGCGATAAGGACATACACCAAATTTAAAAGGAAAGTGCTAGACAAAAGAAACCAGCTGTCAGTCAGTATTACATCCATAGAGGGGCCGATGAGTTCAAAAGGAGTCTTCTCTAAAAAGAAATAAAATAGCAGAGGGGTTCTACAGCAATGTTAACAGAATAATAAAAGGAATTTTTGTCCTAGAATTCACCGTTCCCCAAACCAGGCCAAAAGCCAAGTGGATTCATTCAATTTGAAAGACAGAGAAGGCTTTAAAAAAAAAAGAGAGAGAAAAAAGTGTGTTTTAGCAGTTTGCAGTGGAGCTGTTGCCCTGCCCTGTTCCTCTAGCTGGCGTATCCATGCACACACTCTGATGGCTCTGGTCGCCGTCTAGTTTGGATGTAGATTTAGAGCCATCCCAGTTGAGGATGGGATCAGCAGTATTCAATTAGTGGGATCTGTGCTAAGAGCTGCCCACAGTAGCGAGGCCCTGCTCTTCTGTGTGACCTGGGGGAGGCACGTTTCACTGTTAAACACCCGCAAAGTGTCCGACCCATCCTGAAGTCACTGGAAAAAGTCAGGTGGAGCAGAGCCTCTCTCCCCTTTGGGCTTTTAAAGGCCCCGTTCAGTGAAGCTGCTCTCCCCTCCCACACCAAGGGAGGGGGAGGATCCCGGTGCCTCCTAACCCAAGCAGGACGGACACTCTCTTCCAAGGGGTGTATCTCAGGGGAGGAGGCATGGGACAACTTGTGCCTGTGAAGGGCTGGTCATGTTGCTTGCCACCCTGTGCAGGCAGGTGATGGTGAAGATGGTGCAGGAACCGGCATTAATAATAGAACAGAGTACTGGAACTGCCCCAGAGATGCTCTTGAGCGCCATTGGTCCCAGTTTCTTTGATGCTTTGAACTCTGCTGGTCTCCCATCTGCCAAAGGAGCTAATACTCCACATGTCAAATTCTCTGTATTTAAGGCTTGACAGTGGTGTTTTAATCCCTTGCCTTCTATGGCATTAAAGAGAAGTAAGACTGATGATTAACACTAATAGCATTTCCTATCTAACTTCTGAGCTCAGCAATTCGCTCCAGTGTTACTGTATCTTGGGCCTCATGAAGCTAAAGTTTAATATTTCAAAACAAAAGCATTAATAAATTATAAAGTTTCAAGCGTTGCCAGCCCTAAAAATAACACCAAACTGCTACACAAAATTATTTGTCCCATTCTAGGAAGTTGAACAGGAATCTTAAAACCGATAAGGATAGTTTGTTTCAGATCATTTCTAACAAAGGGCTCCCACTGCAAACTTTAACATAACTCATGGGTCACTTCCGATGACACCAAAATAATAATGAAATGGTAGAGATACAGTGCTGCTCTCTCTCTGTCAGGGCCATGAGAACAGCTGACTCCAGCACAGGCTACTGTTTTTTCAAATGTAATCCTGGGAAGTAATCTGATTCATTTTTAGCGTGAAAGAACGCTAATAAGTCACAATAATTTTTTCTTTTGACAGATGTGTCATTCGCATTCTGAACTTGAGTGATGATTTCATAGCACTCAGTAGAGCCAGAGTCTGCTTCTGTGACTCACAGGCATAATGCAGAAGTAATCTAAAAATAATCAGAAGTCTATTGCTTCTGTGAGAAAGTAATCAGTAATAAGTACTGATTATTGCTTTTCAGATCCAGTAATTTGTAATAGATTACTTCAAAGTATCTTGAAAGAAGAAAAAATACACTTGCCTTTGTTTCTTGGCACTGTGAGATGCAGAGGAGCATGGCATCGATGCCCAGAAGTAACACAGTTCCCATGTGAATAACGATGCCAAAGTTGAGGCAGAAACCAAACTGCTCTTGGAAATTTTAGGGGGCTTCAGGGTTTCATCACTGGGCCAGGTGGGGCTTTGTCTTCGGATGACTCAGGCCAGCCAGCTGAATCCACATGACCCTCAACTTTGGATATATTTTTCTCTGAAGCCTGTGTCTGAGTTGAAGCTTATTGCGTCTGGTCACTCCTCAGCTGAGACAGGGTTTCTCCCCGTCCTGGTGAGGTTGGCTAGCACCCCGTGCCGTTTCGAGCAAGTGGCTTCTGTGGGCCATAGCCACACGCCTGCTCCGCTTGGCCACTGCAAATCAACAAAGACATGAACTGCGGCCTTGTGTGTAATATTCCCCTCTCTAATACTAGGTTGTTTTTTTTCCTTTGCAGAACCCATCACAGCTTTCCCAGGTGAGAACTACTTTCCAGGTAAAACTGCACTTCTCTCTGTGGTTTCTTTCTGCTGGCATGGGCTTTTACATTGAAGGAAAGCGATGTGTGTGCTTGTACAAACAGCAAATGTTCTGAGCAGTGAAATGGCAAGCGTGTGCTAAACCTCCCCCGCCGCAGCAGCAGGAGGTGGCACCCTCTGACTCCTGCTAGGTGACAGGGAGCAGGCAAATAGACAAGTCGCACTATCTTGGGGCTGCATAGCATTAGGAAACCTGCCATCACGAGGCGCTCGGCCTCCTGAAGAGCAGCTGAGCCCAAAATGGGAAGGCTGAGGAGTAAAGGGTAGTTATCAACTGACTTAAATGAAAAAACAGTAGCCAAATAAAAGTGAAATGAAGTGGCAATGACTTATGGGGGAAGGTTGTTCTCTAGTTTATAGATGCTCTGGCAGTGGTGGTGTTCTAGGCGGTAG